ACTGGCAGTGTTGTTTGGGGAGTGGGGAGAGGAGTGCGGGAAATAGCTGTAAAAAGCTTTCTCGATAGAATTGCATTGGTGCAGCAGGAAGATAGGATCTGTGTTGTTCTGAACCTTTGCTAGGGGTTAAATGTTTGAAAGGCTATTCTTATGGCTATGTAGAGAGCTCTTCAGTCTGTAATAAGCAGGTCCCAAGAGGACTACAAGGGGAAGCTACTACAAATCAAATATCCAAAGGAAATCTCTTGTGTGGCTGTAACATTAGTTGACATGGCTTTTGTTAGAAAACCATAAAAGGGAAACTCTGAGCTCAGCAGTCGAAGTTCATAAAGAACAAAAATGTGTAGCTGGGAGTAGCAGCACTTTTGGAGCAGGTGGCTGCCTTGCAGGGGCCCCTACTAGTCTGTTCAATTGCACTTTCTAGTTTTGCATTTGCCCCAAGGACTTCTGGTTCAGATATTTCTTATTAGCTGGAACCAGCTTAGAATGTAAACACCGGCTGCCTATTTTGCTAGTGTTACTGGCTTAGTGACAAGGCAGCTGTCAGCAGGTGGCCTGGAAAGGCAGTCACTGTTCTTCCAGGATGTTGCTGATGTTCAATTTTGAACTTCCAAGCTGCTGATTCAGGCAGATCTGTGTTTTGGGGGTTTCTTTTCCTTCTTCTGACAAGTGAACATCACCTTTCCAGTGTTGGACTGGGAACCTTGACTCCTGCTGCTCAAAGTAGGGAACTAGGAGCCCGCAGTGAGTCCTTGAAAGGCATAAATTGTGGGGAGTAGGAAGTGATGGCTCAGTCACTGCTTGAAGCCCACTGCCTCCTTGAGAAGCTTTATTGCAGCATGGCTTAGTCTTGGCAGTGCAGTTAGAGCTACATTAGCAGCTGCCTTTCTCCTTTCAGTTTGCACTGAACTTCGTGTCATCCTTGCATTTTGGAGGTGAAGGCATATAGTCATAGTGGAGTTTGTCACTGCAACTTGCCCCTGTCCAGCCTGAGCCTTTTGGCACTGTCTGTTACCTAATGATGATGAGTTTCAAAGGCATGAACCTTGCTGTTGTGGCACAGTGCTGCTCCCTGGCTAGAGATGCTGTTCACTTTAGTGTTGTCCTATCCAGCCATCCAAACATTGAGGAGAAATTTTGCCCCCGCCATGCTGCGGCCCAGCTTACTATCATTCTGGCATCTTGACACTGCTACCTGCTAAATCAGCTACTGGTGTCAACAGACTTGCTGTGATCTAGTAAGAAAAAGGGGTTGCTTTACAGCCTGACGAGCACAAAGAGATTTGTTACTGTTGTAGCTTTGATAGTACCCATCAGTGAAGGACTGTGGAGGTGCTTACAGTGGTTCTACTGCTATCAACTGTCTAGCTCCTTCAGATAGCTGTGTCTATATAAGGAATAGTATTCAAATCCTTAAAAAATTTAAAAAAAGCAAAACCAAAAAAACGCTAAATGGACCTACTGAGTTACACTTTTTAAACTGCTATAGGCCAAAGTGGTAGATTCATTAGTCGCAAGCCATCCCCCGCTTATAAATCCAATTTGCCTAGACCCTGCTTCAGTTCAGCTGGTTGTGCAGCATCACAGTGGCACTTTTCTCTCCATTGGAAATTAAATGGAATCTGCCTCAGTGGAGACCTGGCCTTCCTAAAGATATTTGTCCAGCTGTGAGAGGATAACCATAGCTTCTTCCTTGCAGGTGATGGAGTTTCTAGAGCTTGTCTTCCATCCCGTCCCCCCCTCCACGCATGCACGCACGCACGCACGCGGCCAAGGTGAAGGTTGGAGTATTTCCTTTTAAAAGTACTTCTGTTTCCTCTCTTCACCCCATCTAATGGCTGTGTTCTTTTCTGCAGGTGGGAGCCGCAATCTCCATGACTTACATCACAAGCAAGCCCATTGTATTTGTTGGTACTGGACAGACCTACTGTGATCTGCGTAGCCTTAATGCCAAGGCTGTGGTTGCAGCTCTCATGAAGGCCTAAAAACCAATTATTGCACCAAATCGCTGTTTGCAGATATCTCAGAACATGCTTTACCATGTGACTGACTAGTCTTTTCAGTGTAGTGCAAGACAGAATGAAGGGATCACAGAGCAAGGAGTTGCCAAATCCACTACTTGCCTGTGAATAATCTCTCATTGTGCTCCCCAATGCATGGTTTTAAACTTTGGAGGAGGTGGCTGCCTTTAATCATGTTGTGCTTACTCCAGTTGGCTACATGCTTCCTCCATAGTTACTGGATATACAACTTATTTTTTGGTGAGGATGTGTCTCCTGCTGGAGCTCTTTGACCAGACTATCTCTGTGGCTGTCCACCAGCAAAGCCCTTTCTCCTAGATTTCTTTATTCTGTCTAAGTGACTCAGCCTTCACAGAGGCTGGAACCAGAGCTTTGTATTGTTCATACAGTGTGAATGGTGACCTAAGGACTTGCAGCCTTTGGGGCTGCTCTGTCACTAACAAAGCATCTATGGACTGTTCAGTTTAGGTTGTTTAAAAGTATTCTTGATCCTGTGAGCCAGTCTGGATCTTGTAGGTAGCACTGGGCTCATCAGGGACATGAGTGAGTTGCTCATAAGACAGTTCTAGGCTAATTGGCATGGGCAAGTGGCTTGCTTTGGACATTCAGTAGAGCAGGGATAGATGCTACTTAGTGACGGTTTTAGTGCATCCACCCTGATTAATACTTGCTGCTAGCTTGGACTATGGCAGCTCACCAAAGTTGCTAAACCAAAAATTCTAAATCTGCCCCTATGCTTGTCAAGCAGGGGCTATAGGGGAGTTGCTGAAGTTGCCTTAAGGTCCCTTGTTTCCATTATCATGGGATTCCTAAAGCAGGGCTATCCAGATGCTATGTAAAAGTGGCAGGAGCCCGAGGAGTCAGTGTGGCTCTGATACTGCAGCTCCCAGTGAGCAGCCTTTCAGCATGGTCTGAGCATCTCTGATCCAGGAGACTTGTGGGCTGGAACTGTGAACTGCACTTCTGCCCACAGTGAAGGAACATTGCCTGGATTGTAGTAGGTAAGCTGGACTGCTTTAGAGGGATACATCTGATTTGTACTGCAAGATCCCCCTCTCTCCTCTCATAGAAGCTGGTTTTCTACCAGCACTGACTCTGGCTGCCTAGGGGGGATGCCTCCTAATCACCTGGAGACCAAGGCAGATGGAAGCTGTCCACACCATTAGCTTCTGCCTCAAACAGGCCAGCTAATGACAAGAAACATCTCAATGACAGTGGTGGCTGCTTGCTGCTTTCCTGCACCCTTTCCCCTTCCCTTTAGAGTGCCTCTTGAGCCTGGTCTAAAGTGCTACATTGAATAATACAAAACTCTTAAGATGTCTTGTAGCTCTGTACTGCAGATGTGCTATAGTGCAATAAATTGAATGCTGTCTGCTGAGAGAGATAATTTATATAAATAAATTTCATAAATTTGTTTTCTGTGCACAGATAACTTCCCTGGGACAGGCTTAGCATGCCCTCTCAACAGGACAAAGACTGGGAATTAGTGGACAAGAAGCATTTAACTTGCTACATTTTTTTTTTTTTCACATTCAGCAATCTGCAGGGTGTATACAGCTTCAACTAGTCCCTCACCCTCATCAAACAAAGTACCAGCCAACACAGATAAGTGAACAGGCTTTTAATACAGCTTCAACATACAGCCAGAATAGAAAATACATTGTGTGAAACAGAAGTCTTTGCAGTCGCTCAGGAGGAACCAGCTGGGCCTCAACTCATCCTGCTGTCAGGTGGATGCTCAGATGCTGCACCCTGTGTAAAGTCAAAGTAGGAAATTGGCTGAGTAGAAGTTAGCCGGAAGCCTCCATCTTAATGAGCATAGTCCAACCCACTCATTTCTAGGGCATTAGCTCTGACAGAAGCAACACCCTGGAAGCAAAGTAGGTATAAGTAATTGGTGTGGCTCTTGCGGAGATGGCTAGGAGGGCCGCCTGCAGTTGAACAGTTCAAAGCACCTGTGACGAACAACTAGAAGCTTTTGTGTGGCTGCAATTTCAGGGAAAGCCGTTTTGTATTCAAACCCTCTCAAGTTGGGCAGCTCAGGGAAATTTCTGAAGGGTTCTGGGCTGGTCTTCATTCACATTACCAATGCTGGGTTTTGCAAACCTGCTGTTAAAGCTGCCACTTCTTGTTCTTCATGTGCAGGAGCAGCAGTTACCTTTAGCACCAGGGGCAGGAAGAAGCACTCAACTCTAGAATACCCCCTCTAACCAGAGACTCCCAACATACCCCTCTGGAACAGCAGTCTCATGCTCGCTTCTAGTTTACTAAGTGTCATACCTTAGATTTCCATGTGGGCTACAACAGAGTTATTGAGTTGTCCCTCTTTTGGCACATCTGGAGAACAGAGCAAATGATGCCACGTGGGATGGACATAACTACTAGAAACTGCAGAACAGAACAAGTCTCAGAAATAGTTTTTTGCTCATAGGGATGTGAAGGCGATAGGCAAGCACAATCTTGTGTCTCACTTGCAGGCAGAGGGCAGCTTGCTGTCAGCAATGAGCACAGACCACCAGCAGCTGCAGCTCACACCTCTGGCATAGGCTGAGCTGCCAAGGAAATTATTAGGATGCACCTTTTGCTGCTCTGCCAGGTAAGTGAAGCCTGAGATACTTTCAGCCAATTTGGCTGCCTAACAGAAAATCCTCTGCTGCTGCAGCCACTCTGCACTTTTAGCCCCCATCTCCCCTGACACTAGGGCTTGTTTGTAGTCAGAACCTGATATCTGGTGGGGCATTGCAATTAAACAGGACAGACTCTGAGCTAGGCCCCTCCAGTCTGTAGTTCCTAGCAAGGATAACACTTGTGGCTGGAAGGCTATGACATAGTAGTAGAAGAGTAGATGAGTTTAGCTGTCAACACTTTCAAATAAAGGATATGTTTCCTTCTGCTCTCCAGTCATAGTATATTTCCCCTCAGTCAAATATTTCTCTAATTATTTAACCATTTCTCTTTTCTCCTGCTAAAGATTAAGCTAGGACCTTCTTTCCTGATCCTTCAGCTGCTGGCTCTTATTCTTTCCTGCTGTGGTTTTGAATGCACAGAGCAGGCAGTCCCAGAAAGAAAACCAACTACCAATTTCCTAGCTACCTGCTTTGGGAGACATCTCCATGATGAAATCAAACCAACTTGTCCACTTGTCCTGTTTCTTGTTTTGGGGTTTTGTTGTTCTCCCGCCCTGGCGGGGGGTCGGGCTAGAAGATCTATTAGGTCCCTTCCGACCCTAAATCTATGAAACTATGAAACATTGCACTTTCTCCCTTGAATTAGTTGGTCTGAGATTTGTATCGGCATCACAGGTCTCAGAACTTTGTACTACATTAATATTAAAAGGACCCTATGTGCCTTGTATAACCAGGAAACTTAAGCCATCATATTTCAAGTTGTGCAGTGTTTAACACCTTATGTCACCCCAAGATTTTCACTGGGTTGTACTGCTTCTGTCTCTTAGGAGGCTCAAAGCACTGATACATTTTTAATGCCACTGACCTTCCATTCTCTTGAGGAAATTCTGAGCTTCAGGACAACTTATATTCCCTTCTGCCTTGGCCTTTTCTTGGAAAAAAAAATTATAGCTGTTGCTTCCCCAAAACTTTTCTGTTGTTTTCTTCCCACTGGAGATAATGTGACAGGCACAGATACCTGGTGGGTTGCTGTCTCCCAGGAAATTAAGAGTGCATAAATGGTTCCCCCTTCCCTGGCACAGACCTGTAAAAAAGTCTGAGAACTCAAAGTTTATACAAAGCAGCAGTTTGTGTCTGAATGAGAATATGAAATGCACATATAAAAATGGGAAGTGTCAAAAGAAATTCAGTGCTGGCAAACACAGTGATTTTAATATAAAAACACAAGAAATAGAACATGTAATGAAGAGAGAGAGATGAACTATATGAAATGAAGATTCAAATGGATAAGTATCAAAAGCTATCATAACTCACACTTATTGTTTATTTTTAAATTCTCATTTGCTGAAATTTTGGCTCTTGATTCTAAGAACTGCCATAAAATGCAAGTATTGCAGATTAATAAAACCCAATTGTTTTCAAGCAAAAATAGATTTGAGTACTAGTAATAGTAGTTCAGAAGTTTTGAAAATCTCAATAATTATCTAGTTGATTTGTGAAAGCAAGAGAACCACAAAGCTGGCATTACCAGATGCTAAGGATGTGTCAGTGTTAGAGAGGAGACAAAACAATTTGACCACTGTCTTTTAGGAGGAGATATGGTTTCTCATTGTGCATTTCAGAATGTGTCAAAACTTGGGTCTCACAGTAAGATGTTGCCACCACTTTGTTCTTTACTGGTACAAGCCAAAATATGTGGGAACTTTGCTAACATTTTAATGTACTGACTTTCATCGTGTCTGTCTAGTACAGTGAGGATTTCTTCTTTCATGAAACACTTGCTTTACAACTACATAGTCTTGCAGGTCTGAAGCAGTACTTAAGCAAGCAAGTTAGAAAAACAGAATTCTAGCTTGCAGAATTATAATTTAAATTATAAAGTCATGTGAAGAAATCACCTTAGAATCATACAGAAGCAGGGCTGGACGTGACTTCCGGAGTTCATCTAGTCCAACTGCCTGCCTGAGGCAGGGTCGTGGATATTCTAACCATCCTATGCAAATCATAACCTAAACATATAAGACTACCATGAACCCTGACACAACACAGACCCTGGCCTGGCCTGCCACAGGAACACCCTGGCCTGCCACAGGTAAAGCAGGAGAACCATGGCAGCCAACGTCCTGTTTCCATGAAATATTGTCAATATGTGATCAAGAGATCCTGGGCAGGGGGTCATGCCCCTTGCTACAGAGGAAGGCAAAACCCCCCACAGTCCATACCAATCTGACTGGGGGGGTAACATTCTTTCCTGAACCGAAATATGGCAATCAATCTGACCCCGAGTGGAGGGGCAAGACCCTCCAGCTAGGAACCTCTAACTTTGCTCCCAAGAGGAGCATTGGTACACCCCAGTCAAAGTCCCCAGCCTTGGCTGTAGCCAACACCCAATACCACTAGGAAGGCTTAAAAGCACCCTGACTCACCTACCAGAAAAGCGGGGGGGTAGTGGGGCAACCAGCAAGGCCCAGAAGAATAGGAAATACCCATGGTAAAACATAGGCATAGCTGTGGTTCGGGTGCTGATTCAATTCAGAGGAGATTCGGCCCGATTTGGTGGCTGAATCTCCAAATCTGAATCAAACCAGGGAACCAGTTAAAAGGTCTGGATCCATTTGAAGCTCTCCGAATTGATTTGGAAAAGATTCAGAGAGCTTTGGCGATTCAGGCAGTCCCCACCCCTGCAGCAGGGAGCTGGTAAGTAGGGGGCTGAAGAAGGGGGGAGGGGACCATGGGGGGACCCCTGCCTGCTCCTTCAGCCCATTTGAGTGCCCCCCAACCCCCGCCCGCTCCCTCAGCGCACTCCCCCCATGGCTGCCCTGCCCGCCCCAGCTTCCGGCCCTTCAAAAACCCCAGAAAACCAAAGCTTGCACCCACAAGCTGCTGTAGCAGCACTGGGGCCTTGGGGAGGGCTCATGGAAGAGCCCCCCCCATGCAGCACAAGGCAGTGGGGATCACCCTGCCCCGCACCGGGCAGGAACTGGGGAACCTGCATTTTTTGTTGGTTTTTTTTTAAAGGGCCAGAGCTGGGGTGAGCGGGGTCAGGGGGCTTGTGGCAGAGCCCCCCATGTGGTGGGGGGCAGCAGGGATTGCCCCCCTGCCTGGAAGGAGCTGGTGAGTGGGGGCTTTTCTTTTTCCAAAGATCTGGGAGGTGGGACAGGTAGGGGATGGGGGGCCTGTGTGATTCGGAGACTCGGCTGATTCGGCGGCAGCCAAATCTTCTAATCAGATTCAGCCAAATCAATTCGGGACAGTGATTCAAATCACCAAATCAAATCACCGTCCCCCAAATTGTCCGAATCTGAAGCAAATACTAGCAGCTTCACACAGGCCAAATGCTTAGATCATCCCCAACCAGTGGCTGACCAACCTTTTTTTCAACACCTCCACTGATGGGAGCGTCCACAACTTCCCTAGGCATCTATTCCATTGCCTTGCTGTTCTAACACCGAAGATGTTTTTCCAAATATCCAATCTAAACTTACTTTGCTGTAGCTTCCAGCCATTGGTCTGCATCCTCCTCTCTGCAGCATGAGAGAAAGGTGCCTTCCCTTTTTATGGCAGCCCTTCAAGCATTTGAAGACTGCTGTCATATCCCCTACCAAGTACCTTTCTGGCAAGCTGAACATTGCAAACTCCTTCAGCTTCTACCATATAACTTGCCTTCCAAGCACTTGATCATCATCTGTTTCCAGCCTCTCAACTCTAACTTCTCCACATCCTTTTAAAAACATGTAGCCCCAAACTGCACACAGTACTCCAGATGAGGCCTAATCAGTGCTGAGTAGAGGCACTATCACCTCTCATGTCTTGCACCAAATACTTTTATTGATGAATTCCAAAACCATGTTTGTCTTTTGTGCGGCAGTATCACACTGCATCACACTCATGTTGAGTCTGGTCTACCAAGACTCAAGTCCTTTTCCATAGTGCTGCCACCCAGCCAGCTGTCACCCATTTGTATTACTGATTATTCTTTCCGAAGTGTAGCACCTTGCACTTGTCCACAACAAACTTCATCCTGTTACCCACTCTGTCGAGATCCTTCTGAATTGTTTTCAAGGTTTAAAACAATTCAGAACCTTCCTAGAGGGTGTTTTTAAGCTTCCTCCTCTGTCGAGATCCTTTTGAATTGCACTTGCATCCTCCAACATGCTCGTAGTCCTTCCCAGTTTCTTGTTGTCTGTAAACCTGCTCAAGAAGCTATGTCAGCATCCAAATCATTATTAAACATATTAGGGTTTATAAGTAGTAATTTTACCTGCGATACTACTTTTTCCATTAAGACCGCTGGAGACGGGGTCCCTGTGGCATGAGCCAAGCCCTGTTGCTCCCTAGACATCCTCAGTGACTGCTGGCATAGGGGATGTGAGGGCTGGGATGGGAGGCAGCTGGTTCCTGCGAGGCTCTCAGAGTGCCCATGGAGCCAACCCCTCCAGAACCGAACCAGGTGCGAGGACCTTTGAATTAGGGACAGGGCAGATGGAGCTGTGAGAACAGCTCTAGGGACCTGATGCAGCAGTTCAGGCTGTGGTTGGAGCTGGTGCCACTCCACAGAGTCTGCCTGACTGGAAGAGTCCAGGGGGTACTGGGCTGCTTTTGCACCCCTCTGGCTAGAGCCCATCTGGGGGAAACTGAGGTATGTGGGCATGGGGCCTGCACAGGGAGTCAGTGGCAGGGCTGGGGCAAGACACGGCTCTCCAGTTTCCTGGCTGGGGCAGCACCATGGTCTGCCTGTGCCAGGACAAGGGTTCCTTGGGTAGGCTCACACAGAGGCCTGTCACTGGCCTTGCTATGGCTATGCGTGGTAGCTGCGGCTGTCCCCTCACACCCTCTGTCCACCTCCAGAGCATGGACATTGCCTAGCCTGTTGCCCCTGGCCTTGGCTGTGGCCCTGGCAGGCACCTACTGGGCTGCAGGGTGTTTCAGGGCCTGGGGTCTGCCCATGGCTCTGAGGGGCTAATGGGAGGGGGGTCTGGGGCTTGTTGGTGGCAGCTAGGCTGGGCTGTGCTCTTCTCCCTCCAGCTGCCCTGAGGGGAGGCTGAGCCTGGGCCCCGATAGGCATTTCCCCCTCTCCAGGCCTAGTTTCAGAACCAGTGGGCCAAGTGGCAGAAGAAGCAGCAGCACCAGCAGGTTCAGCTGGGCAAGGCCTGCCTGGGGCCCCATCCAAGGACCTCTACACTGGTTGTACTATGGCTGGGGTTGCAGGTCTGGAGTGAGGGCCACCAAGACAGGCTGTGGGGGGCTGCCATTAACTCTTTCACTGCTGGTAAGAAAGGGCATGGAGATGGGAGATGACATGTTGGGAGGCCATGAGGGCTCTGGTGACCTCCTGTGTAGCCTTTGAGGGGACCTATCTGACAGCATTAGACAGGCAGGCCTGGGGCATGAATGAATTTGAGGCACCTGGGTGTTAATAAGGAGCACTGGAAACCTCCTGCCTGCTGTGCTAGGGCAGTGGCAGAGTTGGGGGTGTGGGAAGTGCGCTGGGGTCTCACAGGAGCAGAGCA